TAGAAATTAAGAGTAAGCAGTGTTTGTCTCAATTTAGGGACCTGCATTTTGATGAGTTTGTTCTGTTTTCGTTTTGTGTGGTTCCCTGACCTTAAATCTCCATTTCAATGAGAAAACTGGGCTCCATCACAGGGAGCTGACAGTGTTCTTGTAACGGCCTTCCTCTAGGGATCTTTTGGTGGGGAACTTGGCAACTTATGAGGGTAGCAGAGGAAGTCAAAGGTTGAGAAAGGACCGGAAGGCCTGTACAATGCAGGAATTGAGAAAAGAGAATTCTGGAAGGAACATCCATGATACCTCTAGACAGTGGTTCTCAACCTGTGGGTCGCGACCCCTTTGGCGGTTGAACGACCCTTTCACAGGGGTTGCCTAAGACCATCCTGCATATCAGATATTTACATTACGATTCATAACAGTAGCAACATTACGGTTATGAGGTAGCAACGAAAATAATTTTATGGTTGGGTCACAACATGAGGAACTGTTTTTAAAGGGCCAGAAGGTTGAGAACCACTGCCTAGCATTTGGATGGCTCAGGATTTAATTATTTTCTAAAAGGAACGAGGACTGGGTGGGCCACCTCCACGAGAGCTGGAAGCTCCATAAATAAAGCAGGATTAGCTGGGTAATTGACTTGCCTTTTTGCTCTGGCTGTGTGGGCACAGGGAAGCCCAGAAGTGTTTATTCAATTCTGTGATATTTTTATTTGATGGAACAAAGGCTATCTTTTTTTTTTCAATCTCAAGACTTGTTTGCCAAGATTATCTTTATTTGAATGCTCTGTATTAATAAGCAACACCTCTGAGGTCTCACGTAGAATCGTCATTTTTAGCCTCCAGAATGATAAAAAAAAAAAAAAAAGAAAAGAAAATAAGAAACAAGGAAGTTACACTAGTATTATACCAATGCTATCTAATGATTTTCCATCATCTACAGCGTCAAGTTCAATTTCTCCCCCACAGGGCTTAGAAAAGTGCAATGAGTTTCTTTTTGGAAGTCATCGTTTTTCTAATTATTAAAGTAATTGGGATTATTAAAGAATTTGGAAGACACGTAGAAAAAGAAGGACTATGAAAATGAAAATCACTCATAAATGCCACTACCTGGGAAAAAATGACTGTTAAGATTTTGAAGATTTTTAGAAAACAGATACAGAGAACATTTTCCCTTGTTGTGAAGTAGTAGTTCTTTAAAACAATTTTTAACGCCGTAACAATATTCCATTGTATGGATTTACTCTATCAATCTTACCAGTCAGCTGGACATCTGACTCCAATTATGATTACTAATTATTATTACTATTAATTTTAAGTAGTTTGGCTTACTAATTCTGCATGTAAATCTTTGTTCAACTTTCTGCTAATTTCTTTCGGATGGATTCCAAGAAGGCTGATGGGAGATGAACTTTGCAGCTCTCGATAGACATGACCGAACTGCTACCCTGGGGCGATTGTACAACCAGATATGGTTTTCATTAGAAAACCATCAGGTAACCTGCTACAGTCGGCCCTTCCACTGCTTCGATTTGATAACCCCAAACCGAAAAGAGGGAAAACCTTTATAAGGTAATCAGAAAACTCCTACATAACACCAGAAAGTTGACTAAAAAAAAGTTCTATTTTTAAAATTATTGCACCGTAGTCATGACACATCATTAAGCTTGCCATAATTAAGATGCAAGACCAAAAGATCCGGTGTTTCATTAAGTCAGGAATTTTAACTCTAGTACCAAGGGTAAAGGAATTTTAGAAACCCCCTGTCAACTTTGTAGATGACAAAATTGCAGGCCAGGGAAGTGGATTTCTCAGGTCCTGCAGTTACTAGTCAGAGAGCTGGTGTTGGCATTTGTGTTACCCGATGACCATAGAAAATTCTCTTAGGATATTCAAGTTAGGGCAGCACATAGCAGTAAGGACATGACTTATTCTTAAACACTTCCTACCAGAGCTATCCCTAACAGCTGCTTTCCAAGCACCTTCTGTTAATTGGTTAATTAGGAGAGCCGTGGTTTTTACACAGAGGATTCTGGGATAATGAGTAAGAGGTACAGCTAGAAATGAAAATCATCCACTGCAGAAATTACCATGTCTTGCCTGCAGAGGAAAATGAAAATGTAATTCCTTCGGAGCTCCTGACAGATGGATGACAGCCCTGGGCTGCCCTCCATTCTCAGAGTTTCTGGGAGGAATACCTAGTGAGAAGTAAATGATTGCTCTTGCTTATCTTGCAACCTGGGAAAATGGATTGAATATCCAAGGAAGGTGGGCAAGGCAAAATGTTGGTCTTCCTTGTTTGAATTTAGAGAAAAAATTCTAAGAAAATTAAGGGGGTTTTTGTGTGTGTGTGTGTTTAAATATTTTTATTGATTTTTAGAGAAAGGAAGGGAGAGAGAGCAACATGGATGTGAGAGCGGAACATCAATCAGTTGCCTCCTGCATCTCCCCCCCACACCAGGGTTTGAGCCTGGAACCTGGGCATGTGCCCTGACTGGGAATCGAACCCATGACCACCTGGTTCATAGGTTGATGCTCAACGAACTGATCCACAGCAGTCAGGGCAGAAAACTAAATTTTATATCAGCACTAGGGTCCAGTGCATGAATTTGTGCATGGGTAGGGTCCCTCGGCCTGGCCAGTGATCGGGGGAGGGGCCACGGGAGGTTGGCTGTGGGAGAGCACTGGCCACCAGGGGGCAGTTTCTGTGTTGAGCGTCTTCCCCCTGGTGGTCAGTGCGTGTCATAGCGACTGGTCAACTGGTCGTTCTGTCATTCAGTTGTTCAGTCATTCAGTTGCTTAGGCTTTTATATATATAGATAATCCAATAGAATGTAATGTGAGGCATACATGTAATTTCAAATTTCCTAGTTGTCATTAAAAAAAATTACAATTAATTTTTAGTAATATATTTTATTTAACCCAATATATTCCAAACATGATCATTTCAGTCTGTAACCAATATAAAAATTATGATTGAGCCAGTTTATATTTTTTGTCATAAGCAGCCTTTGAAATCCAGTGTGTATTTATACATATAACCCACTGCAGTTTAAACTCACCACATTTCAAACCTCAGCAGCCACACGTGGCAAGTGGCTTCCATGCTGGATGGCAGAGCCTTCGGCACAGAATTCAGTCCCAGGGTCCATGCCTGTGAGTTCTGTTACCCAAGTGGAAGAGGTATATTAGAACAGAAAAGATGATATGATTGCTTTTATCTTTTAAATATATATATATTTTTATTGATTTCAGAGAGAGAGATAGAAACATCAATGATGTTTCACTCATCAGCTGCCTCCTGCATGCCCACCACTGGGGGTCAAGCTGGCAGCCTGGGCATGTGCCCTGACTGGGAATCAAACCTGACCTCCTGGTTCATCGGTCAACACACTCAACCATGAGCCATGCCGGCTGGATGTTTTTATCTTTTTAAATTGTCCAGCAGGCAATGTGCATAAATTGCTATTAAGAAAGAGAGAGAGAGAGAGAGAGAGAGAGAGCGAGCGAGCGAGCTTGGGAGAGAAGTTAATCAGTTTCAGCTGGGCAACTTTGCACACTTGGCTGACAGCTTGAATTCATGTCCCCGAGTCCCAAAAGTTCATCTACTGCTGACCTTGCAGCAACCACCCAAGGCCACCCAGCCCCCGCTGCCATTACTCACACACAGAGCAGCCCCGAGGGCTCCACCGGGGAGAGGAGTCGCAGGGCAGGGCCAGAACAGGATGCCACACTTGGCAGAACGTTTTTCTAATCAAGGACTCAGTCAGAGAAAGAAAGTCTCCCTGTTCAGGGAGGGTGTCTTTTATTTGCTTTTCCTTTCTCTTTCAGCTGAAGGGAGTTCCTGGGAAAGATGAATGCCCCTGGCAGCGGAAATTCTTGGCAATAGGAGAAAAAAAAAACTGCCCATGCAGACACATGCCCCACCCAAGCAAGGAGCTCAGCTTCAAAGCAGACAGCCAGGGTCCAGCCCTGCTGCACAAGGGCCAGTCCCAGGGGAGCCGGCCGGGCAGGGAGGCTGTTCCCTGCACTTCCTCTCCCTTGAGAGCAGAGCCGCCCTGGCTGGTTTGGATCAGGGGTAACCAGGAAGGCCAGGGAGGCTCCATGTTCGTGGGTTCTGCAAGTAAGGAAGCCGTGCAGCTGGGACTGAGGAAGCTGGGAGAGGCCTGGAGACCCCCAGGCCCACGAGAAGGGTCCAAAGAGGCAAAAGGCCTTGCCCATCACACAGCTGGGCAACAGCCACCCTGGGAATCAGATGTGGCCCTGCCTGGCAGCCCAGGTATTTTTCCTTCGAATTCAGGCAGTGCCTGCACGTGGAGGTAGAACCTTTTCTGCAATTTGCTGCGGAAGGGTCCCGGTGGATGTGTAGGTGTGGGGAATAGGGGCTTATAGAGGGAGGGCCGTTCACGGGGAGCCCCACCCCAGGTCATCACCGGGCCACCATGTGGGCTGCTCATAGCCACCGAGGCAACACTGTAACCCAGACTCGCCACTTCATCAGTCAGTAAATAAATACAGTGCCCACGGTGGACCAGGCTCTGTCCCGGGCACTGGGCGTATGGCAGTGAACAAAATGGGCAGGGCCCCCACCCTCGCTTTCCCCTAGTGAACAAATAACAAACCAAATAAGTAAATTACACAGTAGGTTAGGAGGTGACAAGCCAGGATGGGGCATAAGGAGTATAGGCAAGGGGGAGGGTTGCCACTTAAATAAGGTGGTCAGGGGAGGCCTCACTGAGACATGTGGGCACAGTCTTCCTAGATACAGAACGCTTAGGCAAACTCCTTCCTTTGCTGGACTCTTATAACAATAGTAATCCTGATAATCAATACATCTATTCAGAATGCTTGCTCTGCGCCCTTCATATGCACGAAACTCAGTCCCCATCACCCCATGAGACAGGTGCTATTATTAAACCCATTTTACAGAGTAGAAAACAGAGGCAGAAACAAGTGGAGTGAGTTTGCCTGAGACCATATAGCTATTAGCTCAGGTGGGCATGTTGCCTCCAGGCCCCGCCCCTTCCTCCTCCGGTGCTAACAGGGGAGATCTTCCACCGGGATCTCTCAGGTCCTTCCCAGCTGCAACAAGGAAAACGGAGAGAGAGGAAGCGTTTCCAAGCCGAGTGTTGCCCGTGGCTCAGGATTTACCTGGGCAGGTTGCTCTGGGTGCTTCCATTTTCTGTCTCCAAAATCAAGTGACCGAATGCTGTCCAAACATCTCCTGTTTCTGAAATGCCATGCGGGACTTTGCAGAGGACACACAGATGTGGCATCGGTCCTAACAAGCGAGGCCTAAGAAACAGATGTCCAGGTTGGGCAGGAAGAAGCCAGCCCATTAAGAAGGTAAGGCAGGAGGACATACCACCGAAAGGCTGATGTCTAAGGAGGTCAGATGCCGTGGGACGGTGGGGGCATCGGCAAGGCTTACCCAGAGGCTTATGGTTGGGGAGTATGGGGGTGATTGGCTGCCAGGAGGATGTGAGTAGAGGGCAGGGTATCACACAGATGGGAACAGCACAGGTATTGGGGGGCACCGGACATGGTGAGTCTGTTCATCAGAACAACTCTGTTCTGAAGTCTGTTTTCTAGAGGTGAGGCGGTTAGGAAGTACAGTGGGGCCTTGACTTAGGAGTTTAATTCGTTCCGAGACCGAGCTCGTTAAGGAGCTCGTTAACTCAAATTACTCTGTCAACTCAATGCAAAAAATCAGCGGAGAGAGAGCTGGTATCTCAAAAAACTCGTTAGTGGGGACACCCGTAAGTCAAGGCCCCCTGTACGAAACTGCTCCCAAGTCCTCATCAGCTGTTCTGCTTTAGGGGCTAAGAAGCTGCAGCATCAACATCAATAAGTCCCAACAAATCCCACAGTAATTCCAGCTGGTGTGGGACGCAGCTGACTTGACTTCCCAGTTACGTTGCTGCCGTGGACGCACGCGCCTTGGCCAGGTGGGAATCCTTCGTGGGCAGCAAGAAGAATCATTTCTGCGGAAGAGGGAAGAGCTGGGGTCGGAGCACAGCAGGTGAGCTCTGCACGCTTTGTTATGTGTACCTATACCGAGTGTGCGACCTTGCCTACGGCTTTCCTTGGGTGTTGCGTTTTATTTTTATTTTTCAATTACCGTTTACTTTCAGTATTTTGTATTGGTGTCAGGTGGACAGCACAGCGGTTAGCCAATCGCATACTTTACAAAGTGTCCCCCCATGTTTCCAGGACCCACCTGGCACCGTACACAGTTATGGCGATACTACTCTCTGCCCTATGCGAGACTTACATCCCTGGGGCTATTTTGGCTGCAGCTTGTTTTTCATCTTAGCTTCTCTGTTCTGTGAATGGCGGGCGGAATCCCTCCTGCCTCCTTGAGTTGTTTAGGGCCCAGCTGAGCGAGCCGGAGTGTAGCAGACGCGGTCGCTGCTGCACCCAGAGCTGCTGGAGCCCCCTTCCTGGTTCTGTGCGCCTGTCCCCAGTGTCTGAGTGCTTTGCTTCCGGGGGCTCCCACCTGAGACCTCCTTTGGGGATGGCGTTTGGGCTGCACTTCCTGAACCCAGATTTTTAACTGCTCTGTGGTCTCAGGCCGCACTGCTTCCCCCACCCTCTTCTTCTCCTATGGAGGCGCCCCATCGCCAACCTCTTGCACATGAATCTACTCTGAGGAACCCAACTGAAACAGTTTACGAAAGCACTGGGGAAGTTTGCAAGTGAAACAGACTTGTAAAGAGTTACCTGGACAAATCTTTTTTTTTTTCCTTTTACTTATCACCTGAGGATATTTTTTTCATTGACTTCTGAAGAATGAGTGGGAGGGAGGAAGGTAGGGGAGAGGAGGAGAAGGAGCAGGAGGAGAAGAAAGAGAGAGAGAGAGAGAGAGAGAGAGAGAGAGAGAGAGAGAGAGATCCATGTGAGAGAGATCCATGTGAGAGAGACACATGGATTAATTGCCTCTCTACCAGGGCTGGGGAACCTGCAACCGAGATATGCGCCCTTGACCAGGAATCAAACCAGAGACCCTTCGGTCTGCGGGCCTAACACTAACTCAGGGGTGGGCAAACTTTTTGACTCAGGGCCACAATGGGTTCTTAAACTGGACCGGAGGGCCGGAACAAAAGCATGGATGGAGTGTTTGTGTGAACTAATATAAATTCAAAGTAAACATCATTACCTAAAAGTTTTATTCATTTCAAACGGGCCGGATCCGGCCCGCGGTCCGTAGTTTGCCCACGGCTGCCTAACTACTGAGAAAAACCGGCCAGCGCCAAATCTTCCATCTCTGAGTCACTGGGGTGGATAGAACAAGAGGTCGAAAGGAGAGCTGACGCTAGTTGACCCCTAACTCACTCAGCAGGATGCGCCTCCTCCGTGACCAGCATCCTCCTGACTGTGTGTGAGCCGCCCCATCACCGGATCAACTGGGAGCCTTCATCTTCCCGGCCTCTGGGGGCCTCCACAACGGCTCTGTGGTCTAAGGCTGCACTGTTTTCCACGCAGGGGTCTTCGGCTTATTCCCACGACACTCCCTGATTGACCTTTCTCAGGGCTTCAAGAGAAAGCCGCAGCCCTGAGCGCAGGACGAGGGCCCTGGCGAGATGCAGTTTTGAGAGCTGTAGGAGGAAGGCGCGTGCTTTGGGAAATTGTCAAAGGGGCACATCCTGGACCCAGATTTTTAATCAACAAAACTGAAATAGAAACTAAGGCCATTCATTCTATCGCCGGATTTAGTACTTTTAACGAGAAACATGCACTCTTTAAAAATAGGTCCTCAAATTCAAAGTCTTGTTTAGTGATGTCTCCTATGGCTGATGAGTTTCCATGTTTCAGTGACCTTCCCGGGGCCTGGGGACAGGATGCACCCGTCGCCACATTAAGATCCTCAGAGTTTTTATCTTCCTCAATTAGTGGGAACATTTCAACTCCCTTTCAAAGCCAGATCCCTCTCAGGCATTAATAATCAAACTGACCTTCTGAAACCCAGCTGCCTTGTTGTCTGATGTCCAGATCCTTCGCACCCTGTCCTGTAGACCTCCCATGCCACCAGGCAGAGAAATCACAGGTGTGCTTGCCGGTTTGTGCAGAGCGCTGCTTTAAACCATGTGTGCCCAGCCTGGCCCCCTTGACTTTCAAAAGGTCGGATAGGCCTCCTCTGGAACTGGACTCAACCAAGGCTTAAAAGAGGAATGGGGGGCGACAGGTGGGAGAGCAGAGGGCAGAACTCACGAGACTGGGAGGAAAGCCAGGGAGCTATTAAGGCTAGTGGTCCCCAATCCTGGTGCGGCATCAGCTTGGAAATCTGAATGTACCCCCAGGCACTTCACCCCAGCCCAGCCCAGCCAGGAGAGCCTTCAATACTGGAGAGTCTAGCCCACGATTGTCCTGGGGTCCAAGAGGTGGGCAGGACACAGGGTATCCAGAACCCAGGACTAAGGAGGCCTGACATAGACAGGGTTACGGGGGACAGTGGGTGAGTGTGCAGAGGAGAACAAGCCAAACCTGGTAGACGGTTCTGTTGCAGGTTACCCCTTGGGCATGGAAGAGCAGAGCATGGATAGCAACCTAGGAAATGGGCAGTTGGGCTGAGTGGAAGCTGAGAGCTTATATCCCTCCTGGCTTCTGAAGATCAGGCCAGGACTGAGCCTTTCCGAGGGAGCCAGGCAGGGATTGAAGGGACTCCAACTCAAACCCAGGTCCCCTGACTTTGGTTCAGTGGCTCCATCAAGTGAGGTCTGCAGGACCAAATAGCAGAAAACACTTGTTCTAATCTGCTACCCAGTCAGTCTGTCTGGGGACCAGAAGGTGTTTGTCTCTTGGGTCCTTTGTGGGGGTGCAGGAACAGGAGACATGGGCTGGGTGTTTGTGGAACATTTAACTGAGCGCGAATCTGGTCGAGGGGTACAAAACACTCCACCAGGGCGAGCTAAATAAACAGATCCCTTATAGATAAGTCAAAAATCTTTTTCCAGTCGAACACATCAAACCGCATGAGTGCAAATTTCAAAATCTCTAGGTTCTGCTGGCATTTGGTTGTAGTAAATATTGACTGATGTTGGGGGGCTGTCAATGTTTTGGTTCTCTGGAAACTCTGACGGGCAGGAGTGGGAAGCTGCTAACCTAGGGAGTCAGGAGGCCCCGCTGGTTCTGGCCCAGGCTCTGTTACCAGCAGCAGGCATCCTTTGCCGACTCTTCAACTCACTGCACGCCCCTCCCAGTTTCCTTCTTGGTAGGTTGAGGGTATTGACCTAGAAGATCTCCAAGATCCTTTTTAGTTCTAAAAATGCTTGATTTTGTGATATAAAGGGAGGCACCATGGATAAAATCATCTGACAAATGTTTTCAGGCTTGGGAGGTGGCCAGAGTCGCAACTCGACCTCTTCCAAACCCCCTGTCCACTTAAGACGCTCGGCCGTGGGGAGCTACTTGGAGTCTCTGGGCTGGGCAGATGGTGCAGAATTTGGTGCCACTGACAATAAAGGTTGGCTCTAACCTGCTGCAAAGAACACATCTGGTGTTTTATTTCCCTTTGGAGCTGGATGGGGCTCAGTGCAAACACAGACTGGAAACTTCAGACGAGGATACAAGTATTTTAATAGACAGTCTGTCAAGGACATTACAATTCCCGCCCTAACTGGTTTGGCTCAATGGATAGAGCGTCAGCCTGCGGACTGAAGGGTTCCAGGTTTGATTCCAGTCAAGAGCACATGCCCGGGTTGCGGGCTCGATCCCCAGGTGGGGGCGTGCAGGAGGCAGTCAATCAATGATTTTCTCTCATCATTGATGTTTCTATGTCTCTCTCCCTCTCCCTTCCTCTCTGCAATCAATAAAAATTTTTTTTTTTTTAAAAAAGAACATTACAACTCCTTTAAGGGATGCTCCAGACCCCAAACCACTCTGGCACAGGCCCGAGACCCTGCTTGGAAACACTGGGAGCAGAGCAAGGCACACGTGGGAACTGTCTTGCAGAAAAAACTGGTCTCTGGCAACATCTGACCCTCACCTCAAATATCTGCCGCTTCCCCCCGCCTTTTATTTTTAAAGGGGTGAAGTGATAACATGATTTTCGTGGAGGTGGTGTCAAAGCAGCCATGACAGTGAGTGGCCGTCCTTTTGCATGAGCCCTTGACAAGCCGATTATTGCGCAAACACTATTCACAAAGTAAAGAGTAAAAGGGGATATTTTCTCGCTTCTAAAGGATGTACCATAAGTTCATTTAAGTAGGTGAGGTTTCCCAACAGGCTGCTCACAGGCAGAAGAGGAAGCCCATTTGCCTGGGTGTGGCGCAGGGTGGTTGGAGGTGACAGGCATGTGCCTTGCGCCCCGGTAGAAGACTTTATTCCAGTTGTAAAAAGGTTATACAGTGTATAGGCTGTCCCAGAGCTAAAAGTGGGCTCACCGCAACATTTGGACACCTCATTCAACATACCTGTTATCCACAGGGATGGTGAAGGGTGACCCCAGTATTTCATTTATATCAGGCTCACATATGATTGTCTTGTATTGTGTCTAGAGTCCTGTCAGAGAATCACATAGTTTTAGAATGGGAAGATGAATCTGTTTCCTTCCTTTTAAAAAAAATGGTGATGAAAATACATAACAAATGTACCCTCTTAACAGTGTTTTTAAGGCCAAGTAATAGTCCGTGGTGTGTACACACCACATTTCGTTTATCCAGTCACCTGTTGGTGAACATTCAGGTTGCTTCCACCTCCTCACTATTGTAAATAATGCTGTGGTGAACAAGGGTGTGCAAATAGCTCTTCAGGATCCTGTTGTCAGTTCTTTTGGATAATTGCTCCGAAGTAGAATTGCTGGGTCATTGGTAGTTCTATTCGTAATATTTTGAGGAACCTCCATACTGTTTTTTCTGCACCAATTTACATTCCCACTAACAGTGCACGAGGGTTCCCTTTTCTCCACATCCTCAATAACATATCTTTTTTATAAAAGCTATTCTAATAGGTATGAAGTCATGTTTCATTGTGGTTTTGATTTGCATTTCCCCGATGATTGGTGATGTTGAACACCTTTTCAGG